AAGATGGAGGAGCCATCATCTAAAAGACGCAAAGTTCAAGATGACCATTGTTAACATCTGAAGAATTGGTTTTTAGATCTGCCTCAGGAGTCGTACTGTTCATCAAACAGCACGTACATTTTCTGTGCCCTTGACAGCACAGAAATTGTACCTGTCCCATAACCTGTCAGCAGCAGGCAGCAGAACTGTGTGGCAGAGAGGATTCCCTTTTACCAGTTCACAGGACCTGAGTGAGAAGACGACCCCGTGGAAGCAAACATCACACTGAAAACACAATAACTTCAAAAATCAGAGAAGATCAAGAGATGAAGCATCAGTGAAGGCATTCTGCTTGTTTGTTGCCAAAAGCAGGTACGATGTAGTTTCTTAAAAGGTGGAGTCTGAGTCAAGACATCTAACGAACCTTCCCGTTTTCCTACAAAAGAATCAGGGTAAAACATTTTGCTAAGTGATCTGCTTCCTCTTGGGACGTGGAGCCTGGCTCTGTTCAGTGATTTAAGAAGTCAAATGAACAGCAAAAATCATCTTTTCTTTGCAAAGGAACAATAAAAAGAGAATACTAATACCAGAACTTTCCAGCATGACCCCATGTTTTCCTGAAGTAAATACAGAAGAGAAAGTGCATGTTCATAAGTGAAAATGCCAAATATTTAACAGAATGTTTCTGTTAGTATTGCCTGTCATTTTCCTGAGAATTGTTGTATGTTTTTAAGATATGACTATTTTGAAAACCTCTATATGTATATATATTTATTCTACTGTTTTATCTTTCATGATGTGTAGCTTTTTTATTATTTTTTTTAACTTTGCATTTGCTTTTGCAATTAAACTGCAGGATATTTTTCCTAATGAGATTTATTTTCTTTTTCTTCACTCGTCCCTCTTTTAAGAAATAAAAATGTCTAGCAGAGGCTTTAGGAGGAGAATCCTCCTGCTGGCTGCACCCCATGGAACCCCCAGTGGGGAGCTTTAGGCCCATATGGGAGCTCGTAGATCCAGCAGGACTTGGCTTCCATTCTTCCAGCTTGCTCATCAGGGGGAATCTGGAGATTTGGAATCAAGTGTTCAGACTTCTTAAAGCTGTAAAATTCTGTATGTTGGTAAGAGTAGTGGTGTTTAGGACATGGTTGAAAATAAACCAGGGAATATATTTTGTGTAAAGAAGTAGTTAAAAGATTTTTGTGTAAAGAAGTTAAGATTTCTCTTAGGTGAACAGGTCAGTGTATCTTCAAGTTTTTGTCTACCACTAGTCTGTTTTTTGTAAACTTCACTTTTTTTTTTTTTCTCTCTATTTTTATGTAAAGCTTTGCTTTTCTCTCTTATGTGAAAAACCCATAAATGAAGAGATTGTAGGTTTCACTCTCTCCTCTGTTATTGTACCAGCCATTTGGATCTGAAAAACGTGTGTTGCTCCTCTCACCCTTCCATACAAAGTGCTACAAATCACATGTAGGGAATAGGAATGTGATGTGTGATTTTTACCAAGTTTTTTTTTTAAATTCTGTATTTCTCAACTTCTTGGAAGAATTAGTGGGGAAAAGAGGGGTGGAGGGAAGAATTTTCCTTTACCTTCAGTATGCAGACATACAGTAAACTCTGAGAGCAGCCAACACACCCAGTATATGATGAAATTCTGAGACAACCTAGCTTAGAGCAATGGATAGGAGCCTGGAAGCTGGAAAAAGACAAGAAAATTATGAAGTCAGCTTAAGCCAGGAGATTAATACCAAAAATTTATCTTTTGCCTTTGTTTTCTCTACCTTTAAAGCAGGCATAGGTAGTGCTCTGCCACTTCCATTGAGCTGGTAGGTACGGGGCTATCAGATTTATAGCACTACAAAGTTTTAAAAACTTACACAGTAAAAGGTTAAGCAACAAATGTGCATTTTAAATCCTACTTCTTATCATGTATAATCTGTTAAAAATAATAACCTGAGAGGAAAAAAACTATTTTATTTGTATAATAAAAAGGAATTGAGAAAAAGTGAAAAATAAACAGTATAGGAACACCTGAAAAATCACTTTAGATCCAAGCCAAACGGGCTTCATTTCACCAGCATTAACACTGAATCCTGTCCCCCTACTTTTAAACGTGCCATAATGATTGTGCCAATGAAAAGTAGTAAGAAACCAAGAAATAATTCATGTGAAATATTTAGTATGATCGATGTTTTAAATTGATGGGACATACTCTGTATGTAAGTGGAAGAGCACAACTCTGTGTAACATTGTTCCTATTTTAATTGAAACACATGAATAAATAGACTGCAATAAGAGAAGCATGGTTGAAATCCAAGTTACAGTTGTCTGAAACTCTCTGGAGCCTTTATATTTTTACAAGTAACAAATCAGGGAAAATACAGAACACATAAGAAGAGAGGAGAGCACATGCTGTAAGATCTTAACACAAGTTGAAAATAAAGGACATAATGAAAAGCATCTCTAAGAGAAAAGACAAAACAGGGGTGAGGAAAAAGTGATACTTGTGTACCTGTCTTTAGTCTCCATAAAACAGAGCTTAGGAACCTGATAATTGCTAAAGCCTCAAGGCAGAATATCCAAGAACTTTTATCTCCAGACATATACCACATAACAAATTGGTCTAATTAAATTTTGGTCAATGATGAGTAGATAAGGAATGGGGAAAGGTAGTTGGCTATGCAACCAGAGATGGATTCCGAAAGGCAGGATGGGTTCTGCAGAAGCCCCACGTTGGAGACAGTTACAGTTGTCTGAAACTCTCTGGAGCCTTTATATTTTTACAAGTAACAAATCAGGGAAAATACAGAACACATAAGAAGAGAGGAGAGAGCACATGCTGTAAGATCTTAACACAAGTTGAAAATAAAGGACATAATGAAAAGCATCTCTAAGAGAAAAGACAAAACAGGGGTGAGGAAAAAGTGATACTTGTGTACCTGTCTTTAGTCTCCATAAAACAGAGCTTAGGAACCTGATAATTGCTAAAGCCTCAAGGCAGAATATCCAAGAACTTTTATCTATCTATCTCCAGACATATACCACATAACAAATTGGTCTAATTAAATTTTGGTCAATGATGAGTAGATAAGGAATGGGGAAAGGTAGTTGGCTATGCAACCAGAGATGGATTCCGAAAGGCAGGATGGGTTCTGCAGAAGCCACACGTTGGAGACATGAGAACTGGGTTTAGATGGACGGCCTGAGAAGCCACCTGTCCCCACACAGGTGTGTTTGCTGGGTGAAGGGCTGTCACTGGGACAGCTCCTGGGGTTACAGCAGGTGCTCATCGGACCTCTCTCAGCTGTGGTGTGGTCACCTGACCTGAACTGTGGCTGCCTACAAATGGTTCTGGGGAAAAAAAAAAATATGCACTTCTTAAAAACTTGCCTTGGAATGGGCCACTTCCATCAGAAAAGGGCAGCTGTTATTTTGAGGTCTGGAGAGGAGGGCTTTGTGCACATCTGCCCATGGCTGTGTCTCCTGAATTACTTATCCAAGCTTGAAATCAGCCCCGTGAGGGTGACAGGAGGTCTGGACACTGTACCCCTCAGAGGAACATGAGCCTTCCTCTGCAGCTGGCAGTGACCCATCTCAGCAGCCCACTGAAACACTCAGGCCTTCTGCTCGCGCGCGGCACCGCGGGCGTTTGGCAGGGTCAGGGCCTGCATGGTGAAGGTGTCGCTGCACTTAGAAGTGACCAGTACCTGCTTTTATACCTGGCTTGCTTTAGTCACAGAACAGAAGACAAAACTGCCTGCATTATGCAAATTTGCTGAGAACAGTAGATAAGAAACAAGTAGGTACCAAGCTTTCCATTCTTGTGTTCCACTAAAACTGCACATCAGAGTTGCCATTACCCAGGAGTGCATGAACCAGAGCAAGACAACAGTTCTTCAGAAGCCAGCCCCACCACTGCTGCTTCACTGGATTGCCTGGGACAAGGCTATGCATCTTAATGCACCAACCCTTGTTTTAAATTGTACCACCTAGCTTCAGTGCCAAAAGCATGCAATTTGTCTTTAATTAATGCAAATTAATGAAAGTTATATTGGAGGGCTCTTTAAAAACAAAAATCTTGAGTAAGCAATTCAAGGGTATAGATAAAAATGGGACAGGCAGGAGCAGTCAAAACAGCTTCTCTGGTCTCAGTGCTGGTCGTGTCAGCCCCGCAGAGCAATGCAGGCATAGCAGGGAAAACATAAAAATGCTGCCACAAATCTCTTGGAAGCTATAGAACCATCTGAAGTCTTCCAAGGGATGTGTTTTTAGGCAAAATGGTGCTGATTCAGGATTGCCTATTTGCATTTAGCTTATAAAGAAATTAACTGGAGTTGCAGACATGAACCATTCAGATTTTCTGTGCCACAACTAAAGGTATTTGCTTCTGGGTATTCACATCCTCACAGACCTGTGTTCTCTCATACCAGCTGGGGGGAAAAAAGGGCCATGTTGCCATACTTACTACTGTAAATTTTAAAAAGCAGAGTCTCAGAACTCTGTATTTCTGCAGCTCGGACTCATTCTAACTTCCCTTACTGTTGCTGGAAGAGTCTGGTGAAACCACGGTCCTATGAAGTAAAAATTCTGTCAACTTCTTTGAGGCAGGAATAGATCTTCACACACCTTAACCAAACAAGATGAAACATTTGAGTGGTCTTACCAAAAATCCTTAGGCACAGACATGCTCACATAGTCCAAGGATCAGCAATGCATTACTGCCTTACTGGTAACTGGAGAGTATGTTTGTGTTTTAATGAGCAGGTGGATTGAATGGGTTAAGCTGAGATGGCAGATACTGCACATTTACTGGTAATGTGACTCAGCTGTATTCTTTGTATAACACCTCCCTCTTGTATGGGACCTTATACAACCAACTAAGACTGTCCCAGCAGAACTCTGGAAACACAGGACATTTCTGAGTTAATTAGAGCAAATTCCAGAGCAAATTAACTGGCATTCCTTCCTGCCTCCCGTGCTCTTGCTAACTGGCAAGTCAAGGACACAGATAAGCTTCTTGTCACCCAGTCAAATAAGCAAGGACAAAGTTTGGTCCAAGATCAGTGGTTTTTTATTATTTCAAACTAAGACAAATGTATTTCTGAAGAACACCAGCACAATTATTTTCACAAGCATATTAAAAATACCTGCCTCGCATGAAACACTGAAATGCTAAACCCCATGCTATTCAGCTCTCAATAGCATAATAGCAAATTAAAGACATTTTCAGCTGTATCAATCACTACACTATAGTGGACAGTAAATAGTATCTCCTGGTTTTAGGGCAAACAACAATCCAGTGGCAGTGAATTTACCACAAAATACAGGTACTGTGAGAACAGCTACACCTAGCTTTGAAATGCCAAAGCAGATCCATCTTCAGCCTCTCCTGTTCTCATTAAACTTCTCAGCTATTTTCTGCAGCTCCAAGTCCATAGCAGCCAAATTTTCCAGTTCTTTTTCCTGTGAAAACAAAACATATTTTACACATCAAATACCACTGGCTCATGTTTTGTTCCATGAAAATGAGAGACAAAGGCTGCTTCTGAGGCAGACATCTCCTGACACTTACTGGTCCCTGGGAGGACTGCTGGGGTGAGGGGTGTTGGCAGAAGTGCAGCACATGCTTTGGAGATTTGTGCAACTTAAGGCTTTTAACAGACTTAGGGCTGGGGAAAGTATCAAAGTACTCATTCAGAGAGCTGGCCCCAATTAGAGCTCGATCTTTTTAGCTTTAAAGCACCATTATCTAGCAGTGATCTTCAGCTACATCACAGCTGCCACTCCCTGCAGCATGCAGTCATTTTTGCCCAGGTGAAAGTCTCTTAGGAGCCTACAACCTTGAGATTCACATGTATGAGAACTACATGGACAAATGAGGCCGACAAGAGCAAATTGGGTTCTGCTCTGCAATTACAGCTGGGAAGTCAAGGGACACCCAAACTTCACTCTAAATGTCCAACTTACTTTTCAGCTGTACAGGTTCTAAACAACCTGACAGACCAAGTGGTGCCTGCTAATTATTTCTGTGCTCCTGCTGCAACAGGCATCTTTGTCTTATGAGTCTGCAAGACCCTAAAGGGAGAGGTAGGACTCAAAGAGGAAGAAAATCGCCTTTCTTTTCCTGCCTTGCAGCAGACAGAAGCTAACAAGGATGAACAGTCTTGATGTGGCAAACTGTGCCCTGGGTTAGTTCCACTGAATTCATTCAGAGAAAACAGATTTTTAAATCATTGAAGACGTGACTCTCAACATGACATAACCTTGCGTTTTTCCATGCACAGTTTACCAGCTGCCTTGGGAAGGGATTTAGAAAGGTGCACGTGAAGTCAGCTGCCCCTGGCTTTCCAGAGAAACTCCCATAGACCTACCTCCTCTTCTGTTAGAGGCCGCTGGCCCAGGCTTCTGTCACTCCTGATTACATGACGTTTTTTCACGTCTTCTCCAGAATTGTACAACTCTGGGAATTCAGCAGATTTCTTCCTGTAATTCAGAAGTTGTGCGAGTTGATCCATCTTCTTGTTTTGCCTTTTCATATCGTACCTGTTCGTTCTGCCGAGATTCCTCTTCTGGCTACGTCCGTGGTTCAGAGCACTGAGGATCTGCTTCTTCTCCCACCAGTCATAGTCACTATAGTCAGGGAAAAGACTCTTCTCGCTGAGGGTGGGCCTCCCTCCCTCTCTGCCCTCCAGAAGCTCCTCACCTGCACTGTCCCTCTTCTCAACGTGCTGGCTTTTCCACCACAGCAGTGGGTAGAAAGAGCTGTAGGGTGCCGTGCTTCTCTTCTCACTCTCTGCGGGGAGGCGGCTTCTGTCCTCCTGCCTCTCTGCGTATCTCCCCTCCTCCATACTCTCCTCTTCCTTTTCCACCTGCTCGCTGCTCCGATGCTTCTGTTGGAGCTCCTCCTCCCGCTCCTCGCTGCTGCCGGGGTAGCGCTGCGGCTCCAGGCCGTCCCCAGTGCTGTGGCGCCTCCTGGCCGGTCCCTGCCGCTCTCGCCCGTACGCCTGCGGCGACCCCGCGCTGTCCCGCTGGCGGAACCTGCCCCCAGCACGGTGCTGCTGCTGCTCCTTGCTGCTGCTGCCCAGATACCTGCCCAGTTCCTCCTCACTGTCATCGCCAAGGTATGTCCTGCCCACAGAGTGGTGTCTCCTCTCCTCCTGCCACTTCTCATTATTTTCTTCACTGTGGCGATGCCTCTGGTTTTCTTCTTCACTGCTCTCTTCACTCTGCTGCCCCCTTTCTGTGTACTCCTCACTTCCCTGGCCTGCACGCCTCTTCTCCTCCACCTCTTCAGACCCATGCCTCCCATGATAACCACTCTTCTCCTCACGCTGCTGCTCAGACTCTCCATGATGTTTAAGGTGGTAGTTCCTTTTGTCCCAGAGATGGGCTTCCTCTGTGTTTGATTCCTCAGCTAGTTCCTCTTCCTCACCAGCACGGCCCCTCTTCTCTTCAGAGTCACCCATTCTGTGCTTCCCATGGTAACGTTTGGGTTTGTAGGGTTGCTTTTCCTCCTCTGTTTCTTCACTCTCATCAGATTCTTCACGCTCTTGCTGATGGGAGAAATCATGTTCCTTAAACTCATGGTGGTACTTTTCACTTCTTTCTACCTCTGCCTCTTCCCCTTCATGAACTCTTTTGTGAGGGCTCTGCATTCCCTCCTCTGAGTGCCAGTGGCCCACGGGGTGCTGATCACTCTCATCAAGGAACTCCTCTGTGCTCGTGCCCCCAGAGTGGGACGACTTCTTGAGGACAGCCTGCTCTACCTCTCCCTCATGACTCTTGCTCTCTTTGCTTTCTTCTTCACTATGGTAGCTCTTCTCCTCCTCTGTTCTTACTTCCTGATAGTGTTTGTTTTCTTCTGTATGAAGTCTCTCCTCTTGAACAGGTGTGTGGAGTTCACCCTCCTCTTCCCTGCTTCTATCTTCCTCATGAACAAGTTTCTCCTTATCACTTCCTTTCATGTACTTCTTAGACTCCTCTTCTGCCTGACTTTGTTCTTTCTCCACAGTCCTGCTATGTTGTTTTTCAGTCTCTGCTGGGTCTTTCAAATGCCTCACTTCAAGTTGTTTGTTTTCACTTCTCTCTGGGTCATTTCTACCACCTACAATAACAAAAGCAGCATAATGAAGTAATCCAACTCTCCACTGAAGGGTTATTTCTTCCCAAAGTAGCAAGAAGATTTGGACAAGGTTAATTTTTTTATTCTGCTTTTACAATTAGTCATTTTCTAATATTTGCTACGATTACCTGGAAAAGCTTTAACTAATTTTCATTTGATTAGCCATTTTAAAAGTTCCACTGAAATTTCCAGAAAAATTTTTCCTCTTGAGCTTTTTTGTTTGTTGTCCCATTTTTAGTATTGAGTTGTATTAACTCTCACTCCCATGAAAAAAATCAATGGGCTCTGGAGTTGTGTTCATTTCCTTGAATGTCAGGCCTTACCCATCACATATGCTTATTCACAAAAAGACAACCATCTATTTCAAGCTACTCAAAAATATCTGGAGCTTTTAGCAAGTTTTAAAAGCTCTAAATTGACCGAAAAAAAGAAAAAAGAAATCAGTAACTTTCAATAGTTACATATAATCAAATCATGCTCCTTCCATTCTTTCCAAAATGGTAAAAGTCTGACTGACTACAATGGTAACATATTTCTGTGAAGATACTTCTGCTTCACTTGTGTCTGGGTAACATCAGAAATGTATCACAAAGCCTACAGTTTTTCAGGCAGATAAACAGATTTAAAAATACCTCATTATTTATCTTTAAATTCATAGATAAATTTATATGTCTGGGATGCATTCAGCATGTGGCCCGAACTTGGTCACATTTGTTGACCTCTATTACTTGAAAAGCTGGTCTAGTCCTCGCAGACTCTCTAGTGGCTTAAGCAGAGAGACATACCTGTTAGCCAAGAATCCCTGACAGTTACCAGGTCAGCCTGTTTGCTACTGACACTGAAATTTAGAGGCAGCGTGGGCTGAAATAACAGTTCACCAGTTCCAAAACAACAAAGAATCCAACTACTGAATTCCTAATTTTGTACTTACTCTTCTTCAGGATTTCTTTGCATTCAGGATTAATGGGTGGTGCATTTGGCTTGGATAGAGCATTGGACAGAACTTCCACTATACACCGTGTTACCTAGAAGAAACAAAACAGGAGAAAAAAATCACATGACAAAAAAAATGGAAATCGTACTTTTGACCCATGGTATGGAGCCTGGCTGAGCTAATTCTCCCATAGCAGCCCTCCTGGGGCAGAGCTGTTGTGCTGGGAGTCAGAAGGGTGTTGGTAACACCCACGTTGTGACCACCACTGAGCAGTGCTCACACAGCACCAAGGCTCTTTCTAAGAAGGAGAAGAAAGGGGGCAGGTGATAGAGTGGCTCGGTGGGCATCACTTGCTCAGCCAGGGTTAACCCACCACACCCAGTTAATGAGGAGAACTAGTTTAAGATTAGAGTTTAGGTTAATAATTATGAGTTTTGAGTATTTCCCAGCTCTACCACAACTTCCTGTGCATTTGGGCAATAAGTGCTTTGCTCCTCATTCCCACACCAGTAAGAAGAGCTCTTATTAGCTCTTTCTAACTCCCCATTAGTTTGCATGGTAACAGGCTCCTTTTGTACATTTCTAAATATTTAATAGCCTATTCAGTACAAAGGATAGTCAAACAACATGTGGTAACAGCACCCTACCAAAAAAAATAACCAGCACAACACACATGCAAAAGATGAGGATCATCCTGTAGGAGGGCCTGTCCAAATGAGGATGCTGCAAAGGCGTCACCAGGAGCACTGCTTGGATTGCCAATAATCCAAAAATGCCTTTATATCCTCTGTGACGTGCTTCACATTTTTTCCATCTGTGTGTGCTGTAAGCCCTGCATCTTTTAGTGCTTAACATTCAACTGGATAGTCTTCCAGAAACAGAGGGAATTGACTGATTGAGAAAGAAAATCACACCCCCTCCTCTGGTGCTAAGTGCTACCAAAGTAGCTCTTCCATACAAATTCACACAAAATGATTTTCAGGTGTTGAGTTACTGGTGGTGAGCAAGCGCTCAGATCATCAGGGGTACCAAAGCAAGCCCATTACATCGTTAGTTACTGCAGGTATTTCATCTTTCTTGAAAGATGCCACCTCACTTTTTACAGTCCACTAACACATACCATCCAATAATGTTTCAGACCATTTTTCAGGCAGCTGCACAAGGCAGAGCTTCAAAAGTACCACACTGACACAAGAAGACAGCTGCCATTTTCATCAAATGCACTGAAGTGCACGCAGGTGCCTTCTGCCAGCTAAAGGGACTCGAGTTCCACATCACTGATGATTTCCTAAGAGTTTACCCTTAGGGAAAAAAGCATCACCCTGAGAGTTTAAAGACAAAACATGGAGATCGTGCCACTGATATTTTCTGAAATTTGCTTTGACATACTGCTACTCACCATTTCTTCAATATGGTCTTTTTCCACTGGAACTGTGCTGACACCTAGAATAAAAACAAATTATCACAGACTCATTAATCCTGCCAACAAGTGTCACTGACAGGAGCCTTCAGTCCAACCAGTCTGATGAGATGGCTGGAGTTTTGGTTTGGCAGGCCAGTAAACTAAACACTTTCTGCATTACATCTTTTCTTATTCAGGATGGAAAACCAAAATAAAGTTGCAGCCTAGCGTGAGAGAAGAAGTGTGTTGAAATTTCTCACACAAAAAGAATATACACCAGAAAATGGAAAGCAACATTTAAATTCCAAGACTGGAGCTTTACTGCACTTCAGGTCTTCATGTAGTTATATCTGCTTGGTGGCAAAGGCCTGTTGGCACCCTAAGAACCTTCTGGCTACTGCAAGGGTCTCTGGGTGCCTCACCACCACCTCCCCAACAGACCATTCTTCAAGGATTTAAAGCAGCTGCTATCCCAATCCTGTTGGAGAAATCCTGTCTCATTTGGATAGGAGGCATCTCCTGGAGGGAGGAGCAGAGCTAAGAGGGGTCAGGAAAATTTCCACCAAGTGGTCCATTATCATCCCAAGAAACAAGCAAAAAGATCAAATCCCAGTGGGAAACACTGCTCTGGAAGGATGTGGCACAACCCATATCTCTCTCTCTGTCCTGAGGTCACACAGGGTAAGTTAACACCTCCTTGCACCACTTCTGTTGTACCTGGTCCAAGGTATTTGTTTTAGGAAAGAAGCTGTTGCAAGTGAAACCTCCACGCTGCTTTGCTTTGCCATCATTGCTGCAATATGTCTCCAGCTTGTTAATGAGCTTGGCTGCTGTGCATCATTAATAAAATCTGTCAATTCTCATCCACTTTCGGGATATGCAGAAGTCAAGCCAAGCCTGGGCCACGCACGAGTCCGCAGAAGCAAGGCTCGTTGCATGATGGGTTCACAGGCTCACCACACAGTGCCTGCCACAGCACACACACGGACACCTCGGGGTGCACTTCTGAACGTCTTACACAGGTCAGGATAGTCTTAAGCAGGTCTATAAATCTCTCTGAAATACTGCTTGGTTGGGACAGTGAGAGAACTCCTGTAACACGTGTGTACAAAGCAGGTTGTGGAGATGAAGAGGTTTACCTGGTAGTGTCAGGAGAACAAACACTGTCCCACAGGAGCTCCCTGCAAAGCAGACAGGAGGGTGTCCATAGCCCTGCACTACCCAAAGCAGCAAAACCTTTCCTCCTTCCTGTGTCTGCAGAGGAAGGTGACGTCTCCTGAGCACTGACTCTGTGCCTAGTAACTGAACACCATACAGTAATCACTCTCTTGGTATTTCCACTGTCCTCTATTTTTGCTCCCCTAAACACACGTGTAGGAAAGTGCTTCTCCAGCCCCCGTCTCCTCCCTGCGTACGCGACTGCGATCAGAGAAGGGAACCCACACGAGGATGGCACAGAAGGGATCCCCCTAAAATAGCCCTACGCCCCTACACCACCATTTCCCCAGAACACCAGGTGGTGTGGGGGGAGCTGCTGCTATACAGAGCCAAGCCTCCCCCCCATCTCTTGTGCTCAGCACTGACTGAGCCAGGCTTTAGGTTACCAGCCTAGTATGCAAATAAGGCCCCGACTGCACAGCGCTGGTGCCACTGCAGCCGACCCGCCCGCACCCTCCACCTGGGCATGGAGGATGAGGACACACATGGGGGCAGGAGACTGGCAGCTCAGTCCCTTCTACTAAAAAGGTGTCACCCACTAAAAGGATGTTCTCCCAATCCCACCGGGGTTGGAGACACTGCTCTTGTGGCACAGGCTGCTCACAGGCACCACTTATGTGCAAGCAGAGATGTCAAGCTTCATTGCCTCTTCTTGACGAGGCTGCTCTGGTCCTCCAGCCGATGAGACATCACGCACAAGGGCAAACATCTGATTCTGGGGATGCTGCCACAGCACGTCTCCTGTGAGCTACACCCAGTGGGTGTGATAAAGCACTGAACAGAAAAGCAACTGAATGCCTTTTGCTCTAAGAGATGCCAACTTCAGGCTGTCTCTTGAGTGCTATGTCAGTGGTGCAGGAACATCAAGGCAGGTTGTACCTGCTGCCTTTGCCCTGTCTTCCAAACCTCCGAGGAGATTACAGACAGATGAATGACCATTAAGCAAGTACTTGGTTAATGATGAAAGGTGAACAAGCACAGGAAAAGAGGAAGCATCAGGCTATCATAACAATGCCAGAAGAAACAAACAGTATTGGGCATATGTCCTATAAACCTGCTCAGAGGAATGAAATGAGTACTCAATCCATCCCAGAGCCTGAAACAAGAGACAGAAGTGGCTGCTCTCCCAGAGCCAAGACAGGAAGCCCTCAGGGAGCCAGCATGCCCCACTTTACACTGGTGCTGGCAGCACTGGCCCATGCCAGCTGGCAAGACCTCCCTTGGGGCCACCTGCTAGCTGGAGATGGTTGGCCAACACCTCTGCCTCCTCTCCACATGTGCTCAGGAGGGATGAACCCATTGCCCCAGCACTGCCAAGAGTGTCAGGCAGCAGAGCACCCACCCACTGGGCTTGTAGAGGCGCAGCAGATGGTACAACTGCAGGGCTTCACAGCAGAAACAGAACACACACATAGATGGAAACCCCTCCCCTGCCCATGCAGAAAAAAACAGACTGCAGACACACAAAGTAAAGCAAAGCCCTGGGTCTGCTTTTCCCTCCTGAACCAAATCTGCCCAGGCAGTTAAAATCCAATTATAGGATTTTTGCAGAAGTGCTGAGAGCTGATGAAGATCACAAAAAAGGATAAGAAATGCAGGACAAATTCGTGTGGCTATTGCTTGTATATCCAAGATTGGGACAGATCTTTTGGCAGGTCCCTGATGAAATCCCCATGTGGCTTTGTTTCATTATTGCTGATGACTCAGTGCAGTACCATCGCTCATCAAAATGTCAGCAAAAACCTCTCATAGGAAAGATCACGGAAACTTTAGCATATTGATGTGCAGAAGTACTAGAAAGTTCTTTAAGTTAATGTTTCACCAATTCCCAGCCCCAGGCAAACTCCTTAGTTCAGTGATTCTGGCTGAAGTTTGAAAGCAAGATAGCAAAAAACAACGTAAAGAGGTCCCCAACGCATTGGATAGCACAAACAGGAAAAAATACTTGGCAAGACATCCCAGGGGGGAATCTGGTGAGCTTCTCTGGCTTGGGGTCTCCCCTCTCATTTTTCACCCTCCCCTTCGATTGCCATAAAGGCACCTGAATGAAGTCGAGTTCATTACGGAGTTTCTGTACAAGTAGCAGAAGCGTTTCCATGTGGAGACCTCTAACACACCTGAAGACAAAGTACTCAACCTAGAATGCCACAGATTCCTTCCAAGAACTGATTCAGTATGCCCAAAAAGCTACAAAGTTGTGTTTAACCTTCATTTTACAGCGTGGTTTTAATAGTCAATACCACACAGAAGAAAAATTTCCTGTCAGTTAAAGCTGCAGACGTGCTGCGTTACAGCCGCTATGGAAAACGAGCTGGCAAGAGCCTGGCAGCGCCGCTCGAGCGCAGCGATACCTGCACGTCCCCGCGGGAAGGAGCCGCAC